CTTCTCAAAACTATTTTACTTAAAATCTTTTTTCTTCTATTTTTCTAACCCTTTTTAGGAAGGACAGACATCTGTGATATGGTGTTCTTTCAGTTCTAGGAAAACAAAATCTTTAATACGTTGTGTAGTATAAATCAGAAGTCCTAAGTTTAAGTCCCATCTTTGTTATTTAACTGCATGTGTGACCTTAGTTAGTCAGTCTAAAGATTTTTTAAGGTGATGCAGAGCCTTCTTATCTTGAAACAGCATACTTCATGTCAGTGCATGTTTAAATTGGTTTCTTTGTTTTAATAATATTTTTTTCTAGATTTATAATGGCCAGAAGATTTATCAAAAAGGCCTAAGCAGTTTCTTCTGTGAAATGACTCAGATAAATATGGATTTTGTAGAATGTCCTGTGAACTTTTCTTTTGTAACTACAGATACATATAATTCCCATTACCCTTTTAAGGTATATTCATTCTGCAATTAAATTTCACTTGTATATGACCTAAGTTCCCTTTTAAGGGACATAGAATGCCTAATGGAAAAGGAGTGTCTATTCTGTTTTATGTAGTTGCTAATGTTGGTTTTAATTAATCTGTCATTAAACAATAATTCCCAAACTCCTGCTTACTTACATAGATACTCTCTTCCTCTCCTACTCCTATTATGCTTTGTGAATTAGGGGCATAGGGAGAAATAATTAGTATTACTTAGCTTCTAGAGGGAGTAGTTTTCCTTTTGCTTAGTGAAATAATGGGAGTGCCTGGGAGCCCATCAGGGCAGGGCCCCTTGCCTAGCTCCCTCTTGCAGCAGCGGCATGAGAGGAAAGAGAGCTGAGGCATGGAAGCTAAGTCCCCTGCCACCGCCGCCAGGGCTCATGTTCTCTCTGTGCATAGGAAAGTACATCTCTTAGATGGTCATTGTAACTGGATTTAGGCTACATTTATTTAGAAGAAAGAGTCCAAAGAACAAATATGTTCTTCAGAATAAATATGTTACTTTGGAAGATGAGTTAGATTTTATCAATTATATGATTTATCCCTCTGTAGGAGGGATAAAACCACTTTAAATTCTGCAGGTCAAAGGAAAAAGTTTTTCTCCTTGCGTTTGGTAGACAGTTTCTTTTAAACTTCATTTGTGTAAGATGAACCTTAGTTTTTCTCAGAAAAGTTTAATTTTCTCATATTGGACAGACTTTTGCTGATTAGGCTGTATCCCTTACACGTGTGTGCTGAGTTGACATGCATCCATGTGGAAATTATGACAAAGTAGTTTTCATGCAGATGTCCCATGGTGACAAAAAGCAGTTCACTGCAAGCAAAGCAAACATACCAGTCAGAAGACAATGCATAATCTGGTCAGGAGCTTGAACCTATTGCTGCAGTTCAATGACAGAATAAAGGAAAGGGATTCATTTGAAGATGCTTGTGCATGACATATGGTAATTTCTCCATAGGAAGGAAGTGTCAAATGGTGACCTCTAAATCTAAACATTGACCCCTGTCATAGAATGTGTGTGCCATAAGGTCCTTTTCTCTTTTCATATGATAATTTTAGTCAAGGCTTGTTAGTGGTAAAATAAAATGTGTTATTTGTTTTGTCCTGTGATTTACATTAAGAATTACACAGTTCTCAATAGTTTCTAAAGCCTTGCTTGGTTTATGTATCTTAGGAACTTTTAAAAAAATAAAATACAATGAAGACAGTGCTATGTAAATATTTTCTTGGTATAACTATACTTCATATGCATTATTTGCAAATTGGTATATATTCATTGTGGTAAATAGTTTTTAGATATTTAAAAATAATTTGAACTGTTAAGAAATAAGCTATTACAGACATATTAGCAACACTAAATGACTAGATCCTGTTCCTCCCTAGCTTAATTCAAACATTAGAGTAATAAGAATGTTTTAGAGTAAGGTGAAATTTTCATTTCATTTTTTACCACAGTATCATTTTTGCTATTTGAAATTTTATTGTCTTTTCTTGATTGAGGTTAGAGGTGCTTATAATGTTAGTGTTTTTGACTATGTGTATTGTTAAATATTAAAGTTAGTTTTGGAGTTTGACTTCTAAAATATTTTGTGATTTCTGTTTTATGAAAATATTAGTTTTCCCCTAATTCTTCTTGATCTTACATTTCTGATTAAAAGATTATATTTCAGTTTTACATTCACCATAGTTTTTGCCATTTGATTTTTTTCATTCTTCACTAATACTGAGCTATTTTTTCAGAAACAGCTGTGCCTCAATTTCTCTCCTCTTTATTTCTTCTATTTCCTCTGCAAGCTGCTGCACCTGTCGTTTCCACTCGATCTGATACTGATCACTCTGGTTCTGACCCTGCTCCTACTCCTGCTTTACATGCCTGTTTCTTAGTAAATGAAGGTATTTTCTCTTAAGTTTCTAACAACTTATCCTATTCTTTCAACTTATGCTTTATCTTAGTATGACATGGTTCTTTTATCTAATTTACACATTCATCTTCTTTATTTTTGGGATTCCCACATTGCTTTTTTTTGTGACATTGTTTGCTAATATGTGTTAATAGTTATTATTCTCATGAATTTAATCTTACTTGAAGACTTATATAAGCCAAATTACAATAAGAATTTCTACTGTGGTAGCACAAAAATGTTAAATTTATATGTGAAGCAATATGAGATGGTTGGTTTTTATGTTTTTCTTTGCCACATGTTCTCTAGTTTTACAATTAGTAAATTTATTTCCTTGTGGTCTCATCACCCCAGCTGAATAGATGCTCTTTGCTTTTGTTGGAGGGTGGTATTTCTGATGAGAGATATATGGATAGTCTCTTAATTTTGTATTCACTCTTTCAAATTCCTCAGATCAGTGGCTGTAATCCCTTACCATTTTGTGCTGATTAGGAGTCACTCATTCCCTTTTCTATTTCTCTTTTGAAGCTGATATAATAGCTTATAATTATATCGAACTTGAAACTTTACAAAGCTCCAAAAGGGGCACTTACAGGTTTTATTATTTTTATGTAGTTTGATCTAAAATAGGTAGATTAGTTGTAGGAAGAGGACAAAAATATTTTTTCTCATAATTTGTATATGTTAACTGTATGATTTCTCCAAGAGCCAGGTAAGCATCATTTGCACCCTTCTACCCTCAAAACCCCAATGAAGCTCTGGTGGTTCCGTTCCTTTGTGGTTCTAAAACTTCACCAGCAATGTAAAATGAGTGGATTTTCAATATCTTAGATTTCACCTGTCATTTTGGACCCTTTAGTAAAAGGTAACTCAGTTAGAAACAAAGGAATACTACCCGATCTGTAACACTTTAATGGATGATTCATATAAATACAAAAGGATGAGGATTTATGGGTGTGAATATTTTTGGTTTGATATTCCTGTCAAAGATGTGGTGATAATGTCTATAAAGAAGAAATAGCAATTAATAAATTAATTGGAGTCTCCATCATAGTTCTGTTTTGAAGGTTGAAAAATCATTAGTGTTAAATGAGAAAATTGTGGTCATGTTAAAATATTGTGTGATTTCCCTCTCCACCCCCCCCCCCCCCAAAAAAAGAATCTGGCCACAGGTTCTTGCGACATTGAAACATATTTTTTTTCCTTACTTTTTTTTTTTTTTTTGGCCTGGCCTTACGATTTCCTTGGTGTTGGAAACTTCTGGTGAAATCTGCAACTCTGCCATGATGTAGAGGATTGCCTGGGGCACTGGGTAGAGTCACTTAGCCAGTAGGTGTCAGAGGTGGGGTTTGAAACCAGATCTTTCTGACTTCAAGGCCAGCTTTCTGTCAACTATGCCAAGATACCTCTCATTCTTTTTTCTTATTAATAAGTGATGATGTTTGTATCCAACTAAAAAAAAAAAACTTGTCCGATACATCAATGGAAGGGCTAATGTGTCCCTAATTAATTTATTTACAATTCTTTCTTGTTTACAAACATGAACTTTGTTCAGAAGCATTCCAAGTTATGGAAAAATTGTTTATGTTTCAAAACATCCATAATTATTTTTAAGACTTCTTGTAGGAGTGTGAAAATTGTCCTTTAAGAGGTATTTCAAGACATTGACTTTAAGTAGTGCTCTTATTTTAAATAATAAACCTGAAATGGTTAAGTTAGTAATATATGCAGTGACAGAATATGTGAATGTAATTTAGTAATGGATATTTTAGTCATATAAAACACTGATATTTTAATAGCTCATCATATACATCTTTTCAAATAACAAAGATTTATTTTGTGAACTAGAATGTTGAAAAATAATAACTTTCTCCCTCCTCTAGTTTGAAATGACTGCAGCTCATAGAATTTTTACTAGGGTTTTCAATTTTTCAAATTGCACTTGTTTTCAGAAATGTTTGAGTTCATTTTCCCTCCCACAGTCGGTGCTGTGTTTACCATTTCTAATATGAATACTATTGAAGGCCTGAGAATCTAGTAGTCTAAGAAAGAGGACTGTTAGGCACCTTAAATAACAACTTCTGACACAGCAAGAATGAATTACCTTTTGCCATAGGTAACAGTCACACAGGCGGCTGTATTTAAACTGACACATCCATTGTTTGATTGCACATGGAGGCCTTTAAAACTTTGAAATCAGCTTTAGATGTATATATTTATCAGGGTTTTTAAGCTGTTTTTGCCATGCTAACTTGGTATTTCACCTATATTTTACATTTTGGTGATGACCTACAATTACACTTTTATTTTCATATTCTGAATATTATTTTATGTGGGAATTTTATTAAATAGTTGATTTTTCTTAGGATTTTATTAGTGGTTACAGGCATTAAAAACAAATATTACTTTAAAGATTTTTGGACATCATACAAACATTTTATATATTTTTTGAACAGAATTTCCAATGTCTTTATAATGTCTCTAATGTTGGAAAAATATGCATATTACAGAACATTTCAGCGAACCTGTATATTATATATTTTCTTAAAATAAACCTATTTTAGATTGGTGTTCAAAATGAAAAGATTTTTAATATAGTTTTGATATATTCAACAGGATGGAGTCAGCTAGCTGCTATGCATTGTGTTATGCTTCCAGACCTACTGGGATTGGATAAATTTAGACCTCCACTTCTAGAAATGCTGGCTCGTAGATGGCAGGATCGATGCCTGGAGGTAATATTAAAGTTATGCAACTAGGAAACATCCCTACTAAAATGCTATTCTGATACCTGTTTCGTGGTATCTTAAAGATACAGTGAAGTTTTAATTTCTCTAAACTCTTCTGTGTATCTCTAATTAACTTGTGGAGGGATGTGGGGAGGGGCAATTTACAGTAATTTACATATCTATATGATATAGCAAAAAGAATGCTGGGAACTTGACTTCAAACCCTGCTTCTGATCTCTGGGTTACCTTCTAGCTCTTGATCTGTGTTCTGTAGATGATAAATTTCATAGATTTCATTTTCCTCATCAGGGGTAGACTCTATGAATTTTTAAGATGCCTTTATGTTAAAAAATGCAATGATCAAATCAGATTACAACACACTAGGAGAAGGTTTATATTGTTTTGTGTTGATGAAATTATGTTATTAGAGATTGTTTGAAAAGGCTCAGCAGCAAGAGGTTAGAAATATTTTTGTAAAAAGCAGAGTGTATAAGTATAGTACAAGGAATACTATAGTAGGAGAAAAGAAGATCATTAGCATTTCTGTATATTACCAATGAAGTCTAGCAGGAAGAGATAGAAAGAGAAATTCCATTTAAAATAATTGCAGAAAATACAAAATATTTGGGTGTCTACCTGCCAAGACAAACTCAGGAACTATATACACAATTACAAAACAATTTTCACAGAAATAAAGAGAGGTCTAAACAATTGGAGAAATATTTGTTGCTCATGCATAGGCCAAGCCAAGATAATAAAAATGACAGTTTTAACTAAATTAATTTACTTACTCAGTGCCATACCAATCAAACTAACAAAAAACTTTGGATAAGGGAAGAGTTTATGACCAAAGAAGAGATAGAGAGGATCATAGGAAGTAAAATGGCTAATTTTGATTTCATTAAATTATAAAGTTTTTTGCAAAAACAAAACCAATGCAACCAAGATTAGAAGGAAAGCAGGAAAAAGTTTTTGTAGCAAGTTACTCTGATAAAATCCTCATTACTCAAATTTATAGAGAACTAAGTCAAATTTCTGCCATGTTAGGCAGAAAAGGAAACTGATAAATATTGGAGGGGATATAGAACTGTTGGTAGAGTTGTGAACTGATCCAAATGTTCTGGAGAGCAATTTGGACCTGTGCCCAAACTGCTGTAAGGCTGTGCATACGTTTGACTGAGGAATACCACTGCTAGGTCTATATTCCAAAAAAAAAAAAGGAAAAACACTTACATGTATAAAAATATTTATAGCAGCTCTTTTTGTGGTGGCAAAGAATTAGAAATTGAAGAGATGCCTGTCAATTGAGGCATGGCTGTACAAGTTGTGGTATATGATGATAATGGAATATTATTGTGCTATAAGAAATGATGAGCAGGATGGTTTCAGAAAAACCTGGGAAGACTTATATGAACTGATGCAAAATGAAGTGAGCAGAATCAGGACAACATTGCATACAGTGATAGCAATATTGTATAATGATCAACTGTGAATGACTTAGCTGTTGTGCTTATTACAATGATCCAAGACAATTCCAAAGGACCCATGATGACAAATCATATCAACCTCCAGAGAGAGAACTGGGAAATTCTAAATGCAGATTGAAGCATAATTTTTTCACTTTATTTTTCTTGCTTTTTTTTTTTTTTAACAACATGGCTAATATGGAAATATGTTTTGCATGATTTCACAGGTATAATTGATACCACATTTCTTGCCCTCTCAATGGGTGGGGGAGGGGATGGAGAGAGGGAGAGAATTTGGAACTCAAAATTTTAAAAAAATGGTAAAAGTAAATAAATAATATATTTATTAAAAAAAGAGAAATGTGAGGACATGTACTTTAGAACTATTGAACAGTTGTGTTTTAAATATTGAGCCTGTTAATTTGATAAAGCATGTTGTCAACTATTAATTTCTTTGTCATTTAAATTTCATTTTCTATGAAATCCTTATTAAAAAGTCTCTGGTTATTCCCCATTATTATATATATTGTACCTTGAGAGCTGGGACTGTCTTTTGTCTCTTTCTGTGTGTGCAGCACTTAGCACAGTGCCTGGCACTTAGTAGGCACTTAATGTTTATTGATCATTATTATTGGTTATTCTATGTAGTAAGTTTTTTTCCTTGTATAAATAATTTGGCCTACTATATTCTTAAGTTTGCTTAATTACTATATGTTTTTGTACAATGATAAACCTAATCAAATATAGTTTGACTTCCCTTATTCTTCTGATATCTAAAAGTAAACATGCTTATATTTCCTGATTTTCTGCATATGTTTGAATTTAGGTAAGAGAAGCAGCTCAGGCTTTACTGTTAGCTGAATTGAGAAGGATTGAACAAGGAGGACGAAAAGAAACAATTGATGCTTGGGCTCCTTATTTACCTCAATATATGGATAGTGTTATATCACGTAAGTTTTTTCTTTTTTTCTAAACCTCTAAAATTTTCAGTTGATTAAATATTACAAGCTTATAATAAGCAGAAAAATATCAAAAACCCCAAATGGATATTTCGCTGCAAATATCACTGCAGGTCAGGTAGACTCTTCCTTCACAAGGAAGCTTAGCCATTTTTTGTTGCTTGACTTTGCCTTTAAAAGCATTTACTGATGCATATTTATATTATAAGAGAGATTAGAAACTATCACTACTCTAGAAAAGGAGAAATTTCTAAACCAATAGAGGATGATTAAATAAATGAGATTTCAATACTAGTTGAATTAATTTGTCTGTCCTAAGATTATTAAATAATAAATAAAATAAAAATAAAAAAGGGGCAGCTGGGTGATGCAGTGGAAAGAGCACTGGACCTGAAGTCAGGAGGACCTGAGTTCAAATGCGGCCTCAGACCAAACACTTGACGCTTACTAGCTGTGTGACCGTGGACAAGTCACTTAACTCCAATTGCCTAAAAAATAAATAGAAATAAAAAAAATAACAATAAGATTATTGCAAAATTTCTGTTTGTAGAGAATTGAGAAGGCCTTTGTTTATTTGTGGATTATAGGCAAGACAAGGTTCTTGTGAACAGATATTGTTTCATTCTTGGTACCTTGTTCTCAGGGCCTAGAACAGTGGCACATAGTAGTAGTTTAATAAATGCTTTTAAATTATTTTTTAAATGTAAATACTTTGTTGAAATATGTGAAGGTACTTATATTTTAATATGAGAGATTGATATGTTAAAGGGAGATTGGAGGAGAGTACAAAATCAAGAAACAACGTAGCTCAAGCTATAAAAAAGGAGAGGTAAAGTAATGAGTAGTTATCATGGCATATAGTTAGAAAATGTCTATTTGGGGAAGACTTTTTTAAGCTATGTGTTCAAGAAGTTGGTGGGAATAAATTGAGGCAAAGAGAAGTTTTCCTGGAAAACAATTTTGAAGGTGGGAAAGGGAGGCCGAATCTGTATTTGAAATGGTTTAGGGCATGGCAGGTTATCAAATTTGGGGAATAGAGTAGAGGAGAGTTATGGGAGATAAAGTACAAAGGTAGGGTAGCCCCAGATTAGAGAAGACTTTGAATACTAAGTAAAATTACTGGAGTCTTATCTGGTAGGCTTTAGGGAGTCATCAGAAGGTCTTAACAGAGTAGTAATATAAGGTTAATTTCAATTGTGGTATGAAGAATGGATTAGAGGGAAAACAGACTGGGTTCCAGAATACCTGTTAGGAACCTATTGGAGCAATAATTTCCTAATCCCTTCCGATCCATCATTGAACTGAAATTGCTCTTTTCAAGATTACTAATGTTTTCTTCATTCTTAGCAATGCAGTAACTAGCCAACCACAGTTCCAGAGTCAGACATTTAATAAATAGTTTTTGGGTTAGATTGGTACAAAGAGAGCCTGCCTAGTTTGGTGGTAGTAGAAACAGAAAAGTTAGGGATAAGTTTAAGAGATAATTAAGCAATGTGGAAAAAATAGAAGGGGTGCTTTTTTGGTAGTCAGCGGACCCGAGTTTGAACTTTGGATTTGCTACTTATTAGGTAAATAACCTGGGGCAAGTGATTTAACATCTAAGGGCCTCTGTTTCCTTATTTCTAAAATGAAGGGGTAGAAACAGTTCAGTTCTAGGTTCCTTCTAGACATTATGAGGTTTGAATTATATGAAAGTGGACTTGTGAGGACTTGGCAGCTGATTGTATGTGGAAGATGAGGGAGAGGGTAAAATCATTGATGACTTGAACGTGTTGTGGCTAGGTATATAATGGTTCCATTGAAGAAAATGGGGTCATAGAAGGAGGTGTTTGGAATGTGCCCCAAATGTGGCATGTAGTTCATGGGAGAGAATGTAATAGATCTAGGTTTTGTTTTTTTTAAATACAGTGGTAGGATTGGCCAGAAATAGCAGTGAGTGGCACTGCTGTACTGTTAACAGGCCAAGAATTTTTGAACCCTCATACTGTAATTTATAACCTCCCATAAATTTGTTTATTGCAGAGTGGAGAGCCTGGGGTCAGCCAGTAACAAGATCTATAATTTAATAAAGGATAAAAAAAAAAGACTTATTTAAAATGGTTATCTTGGGGTTAGTAGGCGATCCATTTTAACTATCATACCAAATTTTAAAAAATATTGTATGTCATTCTTCAGTATTAGAATCATAGAATTTTAGAGCTGGAAAGAACCTTAGAGATTACTTATTCATTCTATTTATTATACAGATAAGAGAACTAAATGGTTAAGTTACTTGCCCAAGGTCATACAACCCTGACCTTAACTTTATTGGTTTCTTGAAAGGAAATATTACCTGAGCATGACCTAAGAACTGACCATATACCTCTCCTGTTCAAAACTTTTAGGGCCCTATTGCCTGTAATAAAATATGCCCTCATTATACTGGCATGTCTCACTCCATATTATCTTTCCAATCTTGTTTCATACTAGATCCCTTTATAAACTTGATGTTTGAGCAGCTTTTAATTGCTAATTTCACTATGATCTTGTCTAGTACTTTCCTAACTTCTTATAGTCACATGGTCTATGCTTGGAACTGGATTCCAACTCTGGAATTCATTAGGTGGGAGACCATTTGGAGATTATTTATTTCCTGAATCTCAGTTTTCTTTTCCATAAAATGGAAATTGTTTTCATGGAGTTAGGGTGGGAAAAGCATTTTGTAAAGCTGAAAAAACCCTGAACACTTGTGAGTTGTTGCTGGAATGTATTCCTTCCTCACCTCTATATATTGAAATCTTATTTTTTTCTTCAAGTTTTATCCAAGCTGTTGGCTTCTCCATGAATCATTACTTGATCCTTACTTTGTACTTCTCTTTTGCCTCTATATTCTGCCTAGTATCACCCATATTTGTGTACAAATGTAATGCCTATTAGGATTGTTAAGCCCCTTGAGGGCAGGAACTATGCTCCTTTTCATTTTTGTACCCTCAATATCTAACACATAGTAGATATTTTTTAATTGAATTGAATCACAACTAATGAAAAGATGTTTGAGACTTTGGAATACTGGATTTTAGAAATCTGTAGCTAAAGGATAGTTTTCTCTTTTTCCTGGCAATACCCAGGCCATTCCCGGAAGTGATACACATGAATTCTGAGGATGATAGTAGGGGTGAAAGGAAAATATAGTGCTTAGATACTCCTTTAAAAATAATTTGTGGCCAAATATAGGTCTTTGGCCATCTCTTATTTCATCTACTAAGTGAGGAGAGTTAGTTAGTATTGTCTCTATGTTGTGTTTCATCGAGTCCTTATAGGTTTAAAAATTTTTATTATAGACAATCTTCAACAAAGACAAAAAAAAAACCTTACACAATATGGAATAGAATCTTATGTAAAACCTCTTTCCTATAACAGCATAGTCCCAAACAAATGGCGGAAAACAAATAGTATGTTGGTTCTGTGTCCCTTTCTAAGGCTCCTTTGGTTTTTTGGTTTTGTTTTTTGCATAGCTATATTTATTCCATATGTAGCTATGGTTCTATAACTTAACCTCACTTCATGTAAGTCTTTCCATATTTCTTTGTAATCATAGTTTTTGCTTTTTATTCTACCTATGGCCTCAGATGTTAGTAGAGAAATGCCCAAAGTTAGGCAAGGAGCAATAGGAATGAGAGGTCCTAATGCAAGGAGGCAAATTTGACCTTATAGATATCAGTATAAAGAAATTCATGAAGTAGGATGACATTTGTGCCTTGACTGTAACTCTTGATGGGTATACATTATTCAGAGGAAATCAAGATATATCAAATATGGACATGGAAATGCAATATAATAAGATGGTATACTCTTGTGGAAAGCCAGGGACCAAATCAGGTAAATGTAATAGAGAACATTTGGATAAATATCAGTGAATGGAGAAAAAAGTAGGTTTTTTTATCAAAGTATATTTCAGTTATCCACACATCTGCCAGAGCTGTCTTTCTACCAAAAGCAGGGCTGCTAATGACTTTTGGCTTGACTTAGTGATATTTACATCCTTTGAAAGGAGGAGGAACCAACAAAGAGAAATTCTCTGCTGGATCTGATTCTCCCACACAGGAAGGCAAGAGAATACTGGTTACTGTGGTGGAAATGATATTAGCTTTGGTGGAAATAATCACTCCCTCCTAGAGCTTGTAATGGAATAGGCAAGGGAAGGAATGATAAGCATTCCAGATTTTGTGAAAGCAGATTTCAGAGGATTCAAAAGAAGGATAGGTATGATCCCATAGACTAAAATGTTATAGGGAAGTCATCCCAGGAGGGATGAAAAAATCTCAAGAATTAAATTTTGAAGACACAAAAGGAAATAATTCCAATGAGAAGGAAAAATGGACATTGTCTAAGGAGTGTGTTATGGATGGACTTAAATTTTTTTTTTCCAGCGAGACAATTGGGGTTCTGGGGTCACACAGCTAGTAAGTGTCAAGTGTCTGGTCTGAGACTGGATTTGAACTCAGGTCCTCCGGACTCCAGGGCTGGTGCTCTATCCACTGCAGCACCTAGCTGCCCTGGACTTAAATTTTTAAAAGATAAATGTATAATAAAAGCAAGGAATGAGTGTGGCAGGAGACTGTAAAAATAATGTCAAATGTTCTAAGGTTTAAATTAGATGAGGCTGAGGGAAACTGAGGATAGCAAAAAAGGTTTGTTTAATAAAAGGTACATTGGGGGAAATTGGAGATAAGATTGCCACTTGGGATGAATACGGTAAATGTAACTGACAACAGACAAAAGACTGAGATGCTCAAGCTTAATTTTTTTTTTCTGCCAAGGAGAATGATCTTTGCATTTGAAATGACAGAACAAAAATGACTAATAGTGAGATATACCTGAAATAAATGAACAGGATAGTAAGAAAGCACCTACCTGCTCTTTATGAATTCAAGTCACCTTGCCTAAATGTACTACATCTTGAAGTACTGAAAGAACTAGTAGGTGTAGTTGACCTGGGTAAGATGACTTGA